CTAATAAACTACAAAATTTGATGAGTGATAATTCTGTAAAATTTGAGCGTTATCTACGGTTGTTTTTTTGAATAGGAGCATTGTTTATCGAAATGGGTACAATGCACATGACAGGGTTCTTGAATAATGAATAACAAAATTGGGCCAAGTTTAATTGGGAGGGAGAACGGGAGAGGAAAAGCAATTGCAACCCTCAGAATTCCCATTGCATGATGTGCAGCAAGTAATTCTTTTTGATTCATTCGAAGAGTAACCATTTACTTGTTCCTTGGTCTACTTCACTAATTTTCTCAAATATACGTTTTTCATCTATGCATCGGCTGAAACTTCAAACGGAATTCGCATCGAAATTCATATGACTCATACTTACTTATACCAGCCTATACCCCGGGCAGTTCCGTACTCTGGTTAACGTCTTTTAATAGTCTACAAAGCGTAACAATGAACACTGCTTTAGCAGTATGTGAAAATCAAAGACAAATTACCTGCGCTGTAGGATGGTGAAGTACTCGAATTAAGATGCTAATCGACATCTGTCTTAGAAACAACAATCAATGTCTGATCACAGTGATCATTGGGCGCCATAGCATGCAGTTTGGGTGTGAAACCGGCCCTGGAAATTATCACAAGTAGGTACTTTCGACTGTAAGCCATCAAATCTCTCTATGTGACTGAAAATACACAAAAATATCTATAGTGTTTTTTCCAGACTTTTCGGTAGCATGTGACACATTAATATCGTAAGGTGAATCACTTTTAAACTATTTCATTTCGTACTATTCAGATAACTGAACGCATTCTTCTCTAAAAACAACTGAATATGGAGATGTACAAAGAAGACGTTGGAGGTCAGCCTATTCCAGAAAACTCGACTAGTTAATGCCAATGCGACAAAATGAGNAAGCTGATCCGGGTGTTCAAACCAATAAGCCGAGCCAATGAATGATCATTTAAACTTATCTTCAAAGACCACGGTCGAACATATTCTTTTACTTTAATAAGATTTTCTTACACGAGAGGATAACTCTGCCGTGTGTGAGTGAATTATCGAAGAATGTTGGACTCTCTAATAGAAGGAGGCACCCTCAATACCACCACTTGTCTTTGTCTATAGAGCATACATCTGATTACAGACAAGCGCGATTTGTATGGCATAATGGTGATTAGGACCGTATTAGTTATTGATAGATTAGATTCTCCTTCTTCACGATGTTTTCAAAGGACATTTATGCATTCATATTGCATATTCATATGGCATGATAGATACAGTCACACAAAGTTCTCAGACATAATCGTTGATTGTCTGCGATCCCTTATCCGATGAAGTTGTGCTTCTGTGTTCGTGTTTAACCACACAATTAGCCTTTCTTCCACCCGCGAATTGCAACTGCCCTTGATATTGTGTTGTTTCCATGACTTTGGATCTGTGTCGTCCTTCGGGCTCAGGAAAAGCAACACGTCGAAGTGGGAGAGGGAAACGACGTGCACTCGAAACGCATGCGATTCCGAATAATCAAGTTGTTCAGTCAGTGAATGGCTATTCATTTTTATATCCCGTCTCACAGAAGAATGATAAGATTGAATTCACAGGAGTAGAAAGTGTAAAGGCTAGGAGGAGTTTTGATGGTTTTCTACGTTTATGTATGCGTCAGTGTGAATGTTTTACACAAAACAGCAGATTATTTTGACAATCATTTTATCTTTTCTAAATCATTCTTCAAATCGTAGTCATGAGGAGGTAAACAAAAATGAGGTAAACGATTCCCGGAAATATCAACTCAAATTACCGTAAATTTGTTGACTTTCAATAGAATAGTCGGTCACGATTCTGCTCCGTTACTTCCTGTCTTCTGCTCGAATCAGTTGGCTAAATCAACAAATACGGCTGACCTGAACGGCCTTACCCCGGATCGAACACGGGGAGTCAGAGTTGCTGAAAATTTCACGAACCGGGTCGTTAAGGGGGCAAACAGGTTTTTTCGCAGAATTTGGTTGTCTCGGGAGACAGCTATCGATAAAATACTTTGAGCAGCATTACTCAATTTTCGCGAGTCGATAATATTTTTGTTACCCGTGCTGATTAATTGACCTTCATTTCTAACACTGTTATTCATTTTTTCCGTCAAAAGTCGCTGTGTTACCTCAAGCGATCTCATTTTTTACATGCAAATTGGTTTGCACTGATGGAGTACGCTGTGTGTCAATCTGTGAAATATCTCTGTGACTGAATGAAAGAGTACTGCTAAAGTTGGCTGATAACGGATCAACAAGGATGAAACGAATGACGATTACCAGTCATTTGATTTGAACCAATCACATGGACGATGTACACGAGGATTTCGATTCTCTGTGAGAGCCTAGTGAGAATTAATCGACAGAAGTAGAGTTTCCATCGCAGTCCACCATCACGAACACCATTAGAAACCCAGAAACAACTTGTCCCAACATTGGAGTATATAGAGCAGTCCAATCACGATCGGGTTATGTGCTGGCTCGCACTTATCTCTCAGCGAACTGTCAACCAGTCATTCACTCACGTAATCTGTCTCTGATACATCGCGCACACACCATGTACACCACCTCTCACAGTTATATCATCTTAGTTCAGTATGGTTACTTTTTGTCAGTGACTTTTAAGCCCTTACTCTGTGGTTAAACATACAGTATTTATTTTAGAGTCGCAAGCTTCGATCAACTCATTCGATTTTTAACACACACCAGGCATTTGCTACTCTAAAATTGATTGGGCCATTCGCACAAGGTAGTGACCGGCGACCGTGTGGCTTAGGGGTAAGGGTTTGAAGTCCCAACCCAAGAGTTCGCGGTTCGAGTCCTGACAGGGACACAAAAATTACGCACTGCTGACGAGTCACAAATAGAACGAAACAGCTGTCCAGTGCTCTTTGTCAGCTATCGCAAACATTTCCATCATACAGTATTTATCTTTCTTGGTACCACCATTTGGTGTTTTTCCATATTGAAACATCATCTACAAAATTCACAATTTTCTGTAATTTCATCAATGGCGAGTCTGAAACCATGCTTTGAAAGTAGGTGATTCACTTCTCGGGGAGTTTCATGTTCGGCGTTTTACTCTTGTGAAGGCCCACTCTAACAGAGAGCTTCCCCAGGACTTTATCACAGCTGGTAGGAATGAACAAAAGAACCACACTGGCATGAGAAAATAGTCGTTTACTTTCCGAACGTAACAATGCACACAGACAATTGGGGAAATTTGATTTAGATATTTGTCTTAAAACTCGAGTAATCACTCACGTCAAGGTGTAAAGATGAATAGCAGAGGTCTAACGATTTCTTTGGTTGAAAGTGAGATTAACGACTCATCGGTGGTCATCTAGAGATCGTCGTCATCGGCTAAGAAAAATATATTTCGATTCAGAAAGGATATAGAAACAGCTGTATTTGAGTTGTGTCCGTGTATGTGTGCTCGCATTGGCATATTTAGCATAGATACAAAAAATTGAAGACACAAGTGATACTATTTTAAAAAAGGTTCTCAATGAAAAATGTATTGCTCGACAGTGTTGTCCATTCTAAGACAACAACTGTCAGGTCAAGCTAAGCTTCTTTGTTCAACATAAGCTTCTTTGACCGAACTATACACACGCATACAGATGCACGTATACCGATGGTGCTGTGTATGCACACGAGTGAAATCCTCGTCGAATACGACCGATTTAGCCGATTCGCACCGGCAGACAGGCGACGAATTCCAGTCCACCCACCCCGTTCCTTCTAACTCTCCAGCACACGTATACTCACTGGTCCTAACGCACCCAACCGGACCTTGTCACGTTTGTTTACTGAGACGCAAAGCACTCGCATAGGTCACACACACACAGGGGATCGACCCAGGATGGGTTGTGCAAATCCGAACCATCCNCCCCCCCCCCCCCCCCCTATAAACCCAAAAACACCGTGACATGGAGGATGGCAACAGGTTGTGTGGTGCACTCACTGATGGAAAAGTGAGGGCAACCAGAGATTTTCCAACAGCATTCCAAATTCAATAGTCGAACTAGGTAAGGATTTTCCTCGAGCAGTTCCGATCGGAAAACGACAGAAGGAAATTAGACTATCAATTCCAGATATCTGATGCACGGTTATGGGTTGCTAAGTGTTATTTGCACTCTGCTAATAGCAAATTCGAAAGTAATGTTGGGGTAATACGATATCCTTTGACTTACAGTGGCTATTTTTGGACGACTGTAGTAGATGAAAGGATAGGGTTGAATTTCATCTAATACGGTTTAACAGGAGCCTCTTTATAATTGGAAAACAATTATATGCGATAAAGCCAACTCAACTGCCCACCTGTGGCGAGAGAGGTTTTCAGCATATTTGATGGCGAAATCGACTAGTGGTCGTTGAGTGAATTATGTGTCTGAATTGGAGTACAAATCACAGCAATATCTGTAATGCATCAAAAACCGTCATATTTTAACTAGATCATATCCTGGTACGTTCGGTGGTAGAATACATTTTCAGATGGCGGAGAACTTATAGGTTCGATTTTAGTTCCACGAGTGAGGAAAGAATATAGATTGATGTGTATGTGGATAAGTTGAAGACCTTCAATTGCAGCGCCTAAATGGGTAATAAATACTACGCAACATAACGAGATTCACAGTGAGTCGAGTACCTTTCACTAACAGCAATAATATCACCATGTGAATAACTCGGAATATCAATTTTCATAGGTAACATTAGGACTAACTTAATTCTAGCCATAAATTATGTATTAATCACTGAATTAGTTCAGCATATAGAAACAAATTATTGTCTAATATATCATTGACGGACATGTACTGTGACGTTCTGAATGTCGTACATTGGAGTATTGAACAATCAGGTATTCTTCAATTGTCCATTTTCATCTGATTAATCCGAATGCGTGGGGTTCCAACCCACACCGTTACCTCACTCACATTTTCCACCCAATACGAATGCGTAAGAACAGCAAATTGAATGCGACTCACCCTTTCATCAGTCCAAGTGAAGTGCGTCCTTTTCGACATCGGTTGAGTAGGATCACCGTGACCACGATCATTATGACAAGAGCGCCACCGAGCACACTGCCAACCACAATCCATGGCACACTTTCTCCTTTGAGTTCAGCTGTATCGGCCCCGGATGTTTCACTAATCCCGGTCACCATAGTCACGAGAGGTTCATTGATATCGACAGCATCGTAGTAGTCACGTGACAACTTGAACATGCCACCACCAATTCCTTGAACTAAAACGACGATGTGGAGCGGGGGAGGAGGAAATGCTCCTTATGAGTACAACAACAAAGAAACCGAAGAGCGTAAAGATATCATATTTAAATTGCATCCTCGGAAGATCTGGGGATAGAAGCTGAAAATATATAGCAAGTCTTCTTAATTCCTTTCGTTTGCTGATAAGGAAATCTGAGTGTTGCACAGTGCTGTTTCCAACCATCATAGCTTGGCGCATCTTGTCGTCTGCTTTGGCACTCTCATATACCTTATTCGGTATCTCTGACTACCGATAATTTAGGTTTTATCTTTTGGAGTGAGCTTTGGAAAGGTTGGTATACCATCCGATATTGCATATCTAAACGTCTAAGACGCACCGTTGGATTCAACTCACTGGAATAAGACTGCGATTGGACATCAACAATGTAGCTTATGGCTAATAACAATCGACATTCAGAATTCAATGAGCTTGATGAATAAACGTGATTTGCGCTTTTGTGCTTACATGGATTCCTAGCTTCTCAATAAGTTGTACCTTATAAAGAAACAGTAATCAATATCTCTCCCAGGCAGAGAGAGAGAAAATGTCATAGTAGATGCCATAATATGTGAAAGTAAGTTATCAAGATTGGAACTAAGAAAAAATAAGTCACGCCTTTGCTTACATTCACCGTACTAAGAACAACCATTACTAAATTAAATTTTCCGTCTATTTGATTGCGGAGGAAGAGTTTTTTATTACGGTCAAGTTCAGTTTGTTTCTAACGGGGTAATAACCCTGTAGGCTGGTGCTGAGTCGCACGGAGTGTGATGCCCGCATTAAACTCGTAAAAATAGGTTCGATTCTCAGTTGGGTCAACGGATTCGCACAGCTGATGATAACCAACCAAGCATAAAAAGTGCTTCCCCGTTTTTCACTACACGTTCCATTTTCTGATTAACTTCATGAAATAAGTTTAGAATTACCCCTTCAGATTTTTATTCTGTTCCTTTTTATAAACTCATCATACCTTTTGGATTATTGAAGGCAACTTTTCCTCGTGGTACTGATGACATGCTGCCTCAACGGCATCCTGGGAGGGTGTGCTTTAGATAAAGGGACAGCGCTATCGAAAGACAACGACTAATCAACGAAATGAGAGAAAAGACAAAGGACTTCGGTTATTATGGAACCATGAAGCGGTATTGGTGAATATTGTTTAGATGTTCGTCAAATAGGGTCACACTAAGACACAAATAGGGGACAAGTAGGCAACGAATTTGCGTGCGGCGTCGAAAGAATGCGATTCTTAAAGGTCGGGCCAATCAATCTACTTTGTTAGTACCTGAATCTCTGAACAAACCTGTGTTTTGGCATATCAGATCGAACAACTAAGTGGTCTTTGAAACCTTCCAGTTTCCATACGACCATGTTTACATAGAAACAGAGGAGCAGGTGAAGTTTGACTAAAGTAAGCCGGTTGGTTGAAATTTCTAAACCATAAAAACAATAATTTATTCCTACACACCGTCCGGAGTGCGAAATACAACCACTGGCGATAGCGGGGATCGGCCATGTCTGTTCCGAGCAGCGATTCGCATGTAGTAGACGCGATCCGCTTCCAAACCCCGCAATTCCACTCGCCTCAACGCACCGTCCACTGAACGTTCGAGCCAATGTGCAATGGTCTGCTTTCGATTGGTCAGATAGATAATATAGGCAACAATTGGTCCGTTCGACTGGAGTGGTGCGTCCCATAGCACTCGAACGGGGTACGTGTTGACACCGTCCAGGGGCAACTCTCGCGAATCGGCCGGATCAAATTGTAGCACATCGACATTGTCCGATCGGGTCGGGGATTCCGGGATTAGAACGCGAATGTGATGCGGAGGATCTTTAGGGTCTAGCGAATAAAATCATAAATTCAAACTATTTACCATATGGAAATTAATTTACTAATTTGACCACCGATCATCATTTAATCCCTTTTTCTATTATGCCAATAATCGTAAAAAATTCAAGAAACCGATTGATACAGATTTTACAGTGATTTATTTACAAACAAATGTATAAAGTTGCCTGTTTATACACGAGTGTCTTTGTAATTTTTACCGCACACCAGATAGGTGTCTCTGTTCATCTTTTGACTGGTGTCTCCTAGAAAATAGAATAAAAAGAAGCTCACTTGTTTTTTGACTTCATTAAAAAGAGCGCATTTGCCAAGAGCGTATTTTTATCCGACGGAGAAAATATATCAAAAGTATGACACACATACCTTCTTATGAACCATTCACATTTGGATAGCCAACGAGTTCATAACGCCCTCTGGAACTGTTGTTGTTACTATTACCAATGTCCGTAAAGGACTTTTAGCCACCTTAGCATTCAAACCTCAATTCGCCCCAACACACCGTCCAACAGTGCATGTTGGGAAGTTTTGCTCACTTCAGTTTAGTGACTGATCATCATAAAACGGTATATTTGTGCAAGAGTTGGTTTGAAACCATCATTTGTTTGAAAACACCACAAGAGTATGTGTACAGCCATCGACGGTAAAGTATCAAGGATCATTGGGGGCGAAAACACGTTGCTGTGATCAGTGATGAGCGAGCAAAGTGAAGACCACATTGAAATTAACAGTAAGACAGAAGTGAGCGCGGACATTTTAATCCATACTCAAAGGAAATTAGAGGTACGCAGAGCAGAGGGGAATTGACCCTTTTTGAGCATTTTCAACATCCTCAGACCTCAACTTCGGATGATATCCAAATTCGGCAACTATGTCAGTTTGGAATCTGATTCGGACCAAAACATAATAACTACTTGAAGCTCCTTAAGATCTTGGGTCTTTCTGTGATTAGGGCGCTTGTACTGCATCCAAATGAACTGTGTGGTATAAACATCAAGAAGGTTGTTGGGTGTGCACTGCCTACGTTATACGCTGACGATGAGTAGGACGATTGTAATGTAAATTCATACTGATGAAAAAATAACTTGGCAGCAAGTAGGAACGACCAAACAGAAGAAAATATTTTCACGTCAAGATAAACCATTGAGAATTCATTTTTCGTCACTCTCTTGATGCTACCGGTTTTCTTTAAAGTGTACGATATTATTATTCTTGAACAAATTTATTATTTTATATCCAAACCTCACTTGAATAAGAAATCAGAAAACTTTTCAAAGAATAACGAGTAACTCAGTTTTTATATTGTCGTATCATTGCATATTTTCTAAATAAATACACAAAGACCATCGGTTATGCCAGTTCTGCAAAACGGTGCATTCACAAATGATAAGGGTAACACTTGCAAATCACTTTTTCGGCTTACACAACTATAGTCAAGTTTTATGATTACAACAACAATTCTGTCGGACAATGTCATCTAGTAATAGGTGAGAAAGCGTTATTTCATCATTTATTTGCCCGTATGCAAACTGTCATCTAAGGGGTCAGGCGATATTTGTTCAGTTCTTTCCAAGTCACCAGGCCTATGTTTTCCCCGTCAAGAGGTTATGGGAACAGGCATATAACTGTAGGTGCCGTCGACGAGGCGCAATACGTGAGTTCCACGGCACAGAAAGTACGATTAGTCATGCTTTTCAGGTGAATTCAAGGATCGCAGTCAAACTGAGTTGGCATTCACGAATAAAGTCCTTCCAACTGCCCCAGTGTCATGTAACCATTTTATCCAGTGGTTGGTATTACGGATATCAGCTTTTATTCATGCTTTGCTTATTCTGATCATACTTCATCAACAGAGAAGTATCACGGAAGTTTTCTTCACAACTTTCTACGGGGCTGCAAATAGGCCCAGTAACCCAGAAAGGATTGGGCAATATGAAATAAATAGTTTGTTCCATCACTGCGGATGATGAAAACTTACATGGCTAAGCGAAATTTGAAAACCCATCTGAATGCCGTCTTTATAGAAGTAAGATAAACGGAGGTGGGTTTAGATCAAATCAATAAGATTTACTAATGTCTCAAAGTTAGACGTGGTACTGAAACTGTGTAAATGTGCTTCCCTCGTCTGAAAATGAAGTGCTTGAATGACAAGTGGTTCTGTATTTGTTTGTACTCAACCAGAAAAGGGCTCTACGCTTCATGAAGACTGGATTTTGATGGATCGCACCGAATGACAGGTTCGAGTTGAAGAATGGTTTCTAACTTGCTTAGTGAACTGACTGCGAAATCAAAATTAAGCAGTTAGATGCAGTATATTAATGTCTTTGTAAATCGTGTATTAAAAACAAAACTCAAATTCGTTAAAAGATTGATCATATCACCCATTTGGTTGACCAAGTTCAAAATTCTCACAATAACCTTTGAATCCTTCTCAAGAAACTTTCCAGCTGTTTGACTCTAACATAGCTGTTGATTTTAGACTGTTTTTCCTTGTTTCTTCCACACTTTTTCAACTACTCCGCCATTATTCAATACTTTGCGTAAGCGCCATAATTATTCGGAATCCGATAAAAGATATACAATTTTACCTATAAATTAAGAGGCATCATTAAAAAAGAAAACTATGGTACTTGATTAGCCGCTGAAAATAATTTTCGCGCAATGAGAAAGTTCTGGCCTCCAAGAGTGAAATGACCACTTTCATTCTCTACTGTTTTCCAAAATGGGCAATTGCCTTGCAAACGTCTCATCATCATTGTTTTGATTGGATGTCGTTATTCCTTGATCTGGATGCAAAGTAATTGGTTTGTCAAGCAACC